ACGGTTTACATGTATTCAAAGTATTACACCATTCACTACATAATATAAGAATAAGTATAGTAAGATTTTTAATTAAGTTTATTAATAATAAACGTTATAGGTACCTGAAATGATAAGCGTCTATTCATACTCTGTCACAATTCGTCCTCGATGCTCGCGCACATGACTCGAGCTGTCACGCCAAAAATTTTGTTGTTATGTCACAGATAATTCTCTGTTTTTAAGTATTAGATTGTTGACTTCTGTTGGAATTTTATATACTTTTCCGAGTATGATTGTTCTGCTATGCGTTCTTCGGCCAACAATCAAAAGGCACTTAACTCACGTGCGTTAGGTACATTAACTTCTTTCTAGTTGCGTGATACACTTAACAGAAAAAAATTAATTTTTGCAAAATTCTTTTATAAAATCGAATACATTTTTACTTACAGCACGATTGTAATTAATATTAATAAATATACTTTATTTCTGAAACCTTACAGAGTTTTTAGTTTGGAAATTAAAAACAATGCTTGAAAGTGCTACCCCTCGCACTGTAAATCATTCAAAAACACTACTACTCAATTTCGATACATGAATAAAAAAATGTTTTTAATAAAATAATGCACAAAGTTACAGTGTTTTAATAAGGATTATTGTTAACTAGGTGTGTACGTACAGTATAATTCGGTATTTACAAACAAAATAATAATTATTTTTATTAAAAAAAACCCATAAAATGTGTCCTTAAAAATACTTATAACGAACACCCGTTTTAAAATAAATTAGCGCGGCATAATATGTTTTACAGAGGGCGCTATTGTCGAGGACGAATTGTGACAGAGTAAGAATAGACGATTTTTTTGAAATGACCTTTAAACCACATAATAAAACATGTCCTGCGTTTAATAAATAAATATTTCTAGATGTTTGTGTAGCAACCAGATAGGTTAAAATTTCTAACAAATTAGTCATAAATACATGACAAATTTATATTTATGACGAAAGCACGGAAAATAAACTTAAATTAACACTAAATGAAACTAAAAACACTATTATAATAAGAATATTATCTAAAAACAAGTAAAAAATCATAAATACAAAATTCCACCCAAAATAAATACTGTAAATAAACAAATAAGCATACTAAAAAAACCTGTTTATTGCCCAGTATATAACCGTCAAATGATATTTGAAATTATATTTCTCCACGTCTACCTATTACAGGCTGAGGTAGTAATTTAACGATGTCACTTTTGGGTATAAATCCCACATCTTCCACGGGTGGAAACTTAAATAGAGATGTTCTAGTGGACGTCTGAATTTTTCTAGCAAACTATTAAAACTTGGTCAGACTGCAATTCCAAAACTTTGCCAACATATTGTTTTTTTTTCGTGGCAAATTCCACTAAAACCCAGTCTTCTTCCTTTAAAGTTGAAAGATCTCTCATAATTTCATTAAACTCATTCTGTACGTTTTCCGTCTGATAATGAATCCTCATCCTCAACTCTTCCTCGCAAAGGTTTACTTCATTTTTAGTCTCTGATTCACTTTCACTCTGATCAATTTTCTTCTTTTTTGCTTTGCTGCTTTCTATAGCTTTTCTTTCCCTTTCTACTACTTCTGTTCTAGTTATGACTTCTGTTCCAGGAGCGATTTTTTTTTGTTTTTTTTTTTTTTGTAATTCCTGATCATCTTTCGGTAATGTTGTAGTTGAAGGGTCTGGAAATGCGCCAGTCCGCACCATTGCTGTTCCGACTGGTTCTGTCAGTTGGAATCGTTACATATTTGCCAGGTTATATTTAATTATTTGGAATCAGGGAATAAACAGATTGAAATAACTATTTTACTTTTAATCATCTATTTACCAATTTTTACATCGATTAAAAATCTCATAAAATTAAAAAAATTCTAAAGATTTTCAAGTAATACGATCGTTATTTTTAATGTCAATAATACCTTTCAATAGTGATAATTACAAAATTTAAATTTAAAATCTATTAAAACTGTCTTATAAAACAAAACAGAATTGTTATTTCAAAATATAATATAAATCTTTATATTTATTTATCATACATTTTAATTTACAGAGGTTACAATTTGTCTAAATAATAAACTATGAAATAAAGCAAGCTAAAATGAAAGTGGAGATTTGGCAACGTGGCTTGAGCAAATTCAAATTCTAGACGTCAGTGCAGAGTGGTGTGAATATGCGCATTTCTAGACCCGTCAACTACAACATTACCCATCTTTCTTCGCTTTTAATGTGGATAAAAGCAGTTCTTCAAACGAAACGTTGGATTTTATACCTTCATTGGTGCTAGGTTCAGGATTTAAATATTGATTCGCCACATCTTTTAACGGAGTTGATACATCCATAGTTACAGTAGCTGCAGTTGAAGACAGTACGGGTACTGCTGCAGGTAGAAAATCTTCTTCATGTTTCTGAGTCTCCAGTTTTATGAATAACTCCTTTCTGCTATGTTCCTATCTTTTGAAAGCAACTGGATCGAATTTGTCGTTTGTGATAACCTTGTCATTAAATGGATGAATCCCTGCCTTCTTAAACCCATTAACTATTAAATTTGGGTTAGACTCTTACCAGACTTGTTTAAGGAATGTCGAAAAGGATTTTTTTAATAATTTTTTTTCCGGAATTCATGCGTTGCCATTTGACTAATTTGGCGTCCCATGAGCAATTCAATGATTTGAAGACAGCTATATCAAGGGGTTGCAGAATATGGCTGGAATGCGAGGGTAGTTTTAATATGACGACATTTTCTTTCATTGCTGCCTCAATTAACTCTATAACAAGGTGTGTAGAGTGACCATCGTAGATTATTAATATGGGGCGTCGTTCGCCAAATGTTTTAAATAATATTTTTGTAACATAGTTTTTGAAAACTGGTGTTTCCATCCACCCCTTTTTAGTGGCAGCATATGCTACACTAGGGTTACTTTCATCCGGTTCTGGAGCCGTCCACTCATCATATACATATTTGCCTTTAAACACTATTAAATGCACTGCTTTTTATCTTGCAGCGCTGGCAGCACATATAACAACTGCTCCCATTACTTTGGTTTTTGAGAGATCTGTACAAAAACTCGTTTCGTCTAGGTTCCATATATACTCTGTTTTATCCATAATCCCCAATTCTAAAAGAATGCCTCTAAGAATTTCAAAGTAATCATAGATCATAAACGGGTCCATACATCTTCTACGGGCAATTTCGACACTCTGTGCTTTTTTTAGAGAAAGATGGTGTCTCTGTTTGTATACAATCAACCAGTCCGGTCCTGGAATTCCATTCTTAAATCTTGTTTTCAAACATTTCGTTTCACGTATTCACCAATACCTTCAATCACTTCTGAACGAGATAGTCCGAATCCCTATTTCTCCATGACTCTTAAACACTCTGCTATGTTCTCTTCATTTTCAAAACATTCAAAAAGAGAAAAAAAATTGAAAAATTCCTTACCAACTCGCTCGACGAGATTTCACAAACAGGTCATGTTTCGGTACTCACTGACAGCAGACCTTGAGCGGCGGTGTTGCCATTTTACCAGGGTGACTTCAGTGAACTATAGTTTAGGATTTTTGACAAAGATGGCGTACCTATGTCTAACAGGAATAAATATTTAAAGTGGTGATGCTCTTACACCGAAAACGATCTTACCCCAACGTACCTTATCCTACTTATAGGTGACAACTGACAGTCGCGCGAAAATTAATTTGAATCGCGAATAGTATCTCAATACCCAATATAAATATATCGATAACTTATTTCCAGACTGTAAGTTCCCTATTCGTAAAAAAATAGATAATTATATGTTTTTATTTCATGTCCATTTTCTCGCAAAATATCGTAAGTCTATAAACCTATGTTGACGTTGAACGTTAATAATGAAAATAAGATAGTCGTAACCGTCTTCAGAAAATTCAGTGACAAGCATAAATCGTAGTAAGCGACAGCCTCCCAACAAGATAAATTCCGCCAGTCTACCGTAAGTAACAGAAAACTGGGAGAGTAGGAAATAATTTTGTTGGTTACGCCACCGTTTCTAAAATACATTTTGGGACCTAAAAATCTTCATAGATAAAAAACATTGTTTAATATTAAAAAAAAGGAAAAAAAAAAGAAAAAAAAACGGTCACAAACTTTCTACAAACCAGAAATTATCGTTTAGTATTAAATAATAAGGATAGGCAAAATAATCAATTAATCGATTAGTCAATTAATTTATTTGAAAAATCGATTAATTCGAAAATTATTTTCATAACCCTTGATTCTAAGTCAATGGGTTAACGCAATTTATCGAAATAAAGTGTATTAACTAATAATGACGAAAAACTAACATAAACATATTTTTAAGTTAAAATCTTTAGCGTGATATTTAAAAAATTATGTTTACGGTACTTTATTCGGAAACACCATGAACATTACTTTTAGGGCCATTTGCACCGCTAGTCGTTAAGAAATAAGCCAAGCTTAAACTGACGTTTTTCCATTTACAGTATCTTGGCTTAGTTCTTAACGACTAGCAGTGCAAATTGCCCTTAGGAAGTCATATTTTCCAATATTTTAAAAAAAATTGCTTATTTAATGTTTAAAGCTTATATTGATTGGGTTTTTATATTAATATTTTCTTGTCATAATATTATTTGAAGCTATGATTCTGAAACAAATGTTTGAAAGAATCGTTTTTTTTTCTGACATTAATTGATTTAATTCTAATTTCGCTTACTTATATGATCTGAATTTTGAATAAGAAAAGGAAACTCTAACGTGTATTGTAACGTGTTAGCCGCAAAATTATTTTCCTCAGTTGGCCATGATTGACAAAGATAATATGAGTCTTGTTTAGAATAACTTCATATGCCTCTACGGACAACGATATCTGATGTAAGCTCTGACACGACTGATTTATTTCATGATCAACTGAGGAAAACAAATTTGTTGTCCACACATTACTAGTCCAATATTGCGTTTAATATTATTATTATTATTTATTTACTTACTTTTCTTCTATATCTCTAGCCTTATCTCTAACTTCGTGCGCTCCATGTTCTTCGTCGAAATACAGTTTTTTCGTTTTATCTACATCCTGTACACACAACTGCAATTCCTTTTGAACAAGTGCTAGTTGATCCACGCACTGCAAAAAAACATTACATTATTATAAAAAAAATAGTTATTTTCTGTCTTCTTGGGATTGATAGTGAATGGTCCTTGCAGTAATGAACGAAACAAAAATTTCAGTCAGCCGATAAATAGCGATTGGCAGTTTTTATGCATCTAGTTGTAAACCAAAGAAGTAAAGCAAAAAAAAAGGTCAGAGTTTCAATTTCATTTATTGGATTTACATGATTGAAAAAGAAATTCGATCGTATCAGATCCCATCAGCGGGAATATAAAAATTCAATTTCTAACCCAATCTAGTCAGTTACCGTTAAGACGATTATCAAGAATATTATTAAAGAAAGTAGGTACTAGGGTAATCACTTTTCAGGACCTCAAAATGGAGATATGTAGATACGAGGAACGAGGACGTATTAAAAGTTTATTAGTCTGTCTGTTGCAATTTATAGTAGAAAATCGTCTAGCTTTACACATGAAGGAAGTTGTGTATTAGCCGGAATAGGGACGGTGCTCCCAAATGGACTTTAAAAATGTATGTTTTGTGTTTGGGAAACAAACATGATAATATTAATATTTCGTAGAAATGTTTGTCAGATTATATTGTGCAATGAAAAAGGTTAATGACTATGAGGTATCGGACAAAAATAATTGATGAATTAAAATTGATTATTTGAAATCTCTCAATAATACTAAAAGTTTGATAAACAATTCTATTAATAATTTTTCAAAAAAACGATGAGACAAGTCGATTTCTATTTTCGTATTCGGAAAAACAGATTGTCTCAATAACTTTGTAATAAAACTGGAAGGACCTAATAAAAGTGTAAGGTACCTCTAGGATTAAAACATTCAATTTCAGGGTTTAACTAGCGGATTAGGAAAACAGGTAGTATTCACGATACTAAAGGAAGGATGTCGCGCACAGAGGGCGGTCCTTAAGCAACGTCACGCATAGCGACTGTACTAACATTGTGCTTTTAATCAATTGTAGAGTTTAGATGAAACCTGGATCGATACTCAGATCATAAAAAATGTTGGACTGATGAAAGGTTAAAATGTAATGTAGGGCCTCTAAACCTAAGAGGTGCAAGCATCCAGCTTAAGGGGGAGGTAAAATATCTCGGGGTTATTATTGACTCGAGACTTACCTGGAACCAGCATCTAGAAAGAACCACAAGGAGAGCGGAAACCTCGTTAATGATGGCAAGGCGATCCTTTGGAAAAAATGGGGGTTAAAACCAGACATGGTATATTGGCTTTATAACATGGTGGTGAGACCGATAATAACATACGCAGCTTTGGTGTGGTGGCCAAAGACACAGCAAAGGAAAGCAATAACGAGGCTAAGCAATAACGGGGGCAATGAAAACAACCCCCACTGCTGCAATGGAAGCACTAATAGGACTCCCACCTCTTCACTATGTGATACAAGGGGAGGCAAGATTAGGTGCTTACAGATAAGGGAATACACTGGGAAATCTTGTCATTAGGCCAGGTCACATGAGTATCTCAAGGTTAGTGACAGGAGACGTGCTAGACATGAGATCAGACCACATAACCAAGAGGTACTCTTTTAATACTCCATTCGAGGTTTTAATACAGGAAAGAGCGGATATCACCATAAGGGAGCCCAATGCCCAACGACAGGATCAAACCTGGTATACAGACGGGTCTAAGACTGCGGAAGGCACTGGGGCAGGAGTATTCTCCAAAACCCTGATACTAACCATAGCTATGCTATAGGAATACATTCCTCGGTATTTCAGGCCGAGGTATATGCAATTTTGCAATGTGCAAAAACGAACAATGAAAGAGCTGTCGAAAATCAGCATATTCAAATAATGTCAGACAGCCAAGCGGCACTTAAGGACATATCGAGTCAGAAAGTTACGTCGAAGCTAGTATGGGAATGCATCAAAGAACTAAGAACACTGGCAGACCGAAATAGAGTAAAACTATTTTGGGTGCCAGGTCACCAAGGGATCGAAGGCAACGTAAAGGCTGACGAACTTGCAAAAAGAGGGTCAGAAGAAACACCGGAACCAGACACAAACCCAGGAGTACCAAAAAGTACAGTCCTGGGTTTCATAAACGACTGGATTCGGGAACAGCATAACAACTATTGGGGAAACACCCCAAAACAGGCACATGGAAAAGCCTTCATAGACAGACCATGTCCCAAAAGAACTGGAGAACTACTCTTAATGAATAGGAACCAGTTGAAAGTGATAACAGTGTTCATGACTGGGCACGCCCCAGTAAATAGACACTTAAACAAAATTGGCATGTACAATGGGAAACTCATGTGCCGACTATGTCACAAGAAACCAGAAACTGCCTAACACATACTGTGCGAATGCGAAGCTCTAGATCGCAAAAGACAGGCTCTTTTGGACAACCCCAGGTTGATCCAACAACGTATAGAACCCGCTCACCCAAGGATCTGTACAAACTTGTACAAGGTACAAAGGTGACAGAGTGGGTGCTATGAACTAACATGGGGTAAAACACAATAAGCCAATAGGCTTCAGTGTTATTCGGAGATATATAGTCAGACGAGCCCAGGAGAAAAAAAATGTAGACACTCCTCCATCTCGAGGACAGGAAAAAGAATATGTATCTTACATTGTGGTGAAAAATCAGGTTGGGTAGAAGGAGCTCTCTTGGTGTCTGCAAAGGATGTACGGGATAGTAGTTTGGATTACCACCAGGCCATAGAAAGTCCAACTCTTTTTGAAAAATGGTTTGAGAGTACATTACTACCAAAACTAAATGAAAATGGCATAATAGTTTTAGATAATGCCCCGTACTATTCACGGTTGGTACGAAAAAAACCAAATACCAATTCTACGAAATCAGTGATTCAGGACTTTCTGATGGAGAATGATATATTTTTTGAAGAACACTATAGACCGTCAGATAGTGACTGATTTAGGTGCCCCATTTTCGCATACAAGCCTCGAAAAGGGTTGAAAAGTACATCGATTTTGAGTAGAATGAAACGAAATTGACGGATGGCCCCTGGGGATAACATATGGAAAATTCGATTTTCCTAAACAGAAATAAAAGGTGTTTTTTGCTCATTTTTCCACGCAAGCCGTTTTAACTATATGATTAATTAATAAAACTAGGCTTCGGAAAACCAATGGCTTTAATGTTGCAAGTGGCTAAATCGTTGAAATAAGGGCGTAATATTGTAAAGAAAAATCGATATTTTAACTGATTTTTCCATACAAGCCCGTCAAAAGTATGAATACATACATCGTCACTAGCCCAAAAAACATATTGGCTTGAATGGCGCGAATGGATAAGTGCAATTTGGAGTCGCAAAAATTTTTTTTTTTTTATTTTTGAGTTATTTTTTCATGCAAGCCTTTTTAACCATAAAATGTTATTAATGTGTTAGATGTAATAATAAAATTGGCATGAGTATCGGATGTGGACGAAACGAAGGCTTGCGTCGGAAAATTGCAGGAAAATTGTATGGAAAATGTCACCATTTTCCCACGCTAGCCGCTTGACATATGCTTAGAAAAAGTGATTCTAAGACTATATAATAAAAGGCTTGAGTGTCGGACATGGTCATCATATTATTTATACATAATTTATTTAACAAAATGCTGACAAGAAAATCTAGAAATGTCCACCATTTTCTCACACAAGCCGTTTGGCATAGTGATTTTAAGACTATAAGGCATAAGTGTTGAAAATGGAACATATTTATTTAAAAAAGATCTGTCAAAAATGTAGAAATGTTTATAAAAAAATAAAACTAAAAACCTAAATATTAAAATCTAAATATCACCCTAAATCATCTAAATATCGATTCTCAAAGTTATTTTATATTAATTTTGTTATAAGAGTTGTCTCCTGGCCGGACTATTCAACGACTAATTTTATACATTTTAAATGTTTATTAACTTAACGCCCTTTTAAATGATTGTAAAAATTTAAATATTTTCGTTTGATTAACTAAATAAATGTATATAATAGTACTTATCAATTATTTAATTTGAAGAAAAATAACTAATGTAATGAACACAACAACCTGTAACTTCAATTTTAACCAAAAAAATAACGCACAATAATTATTTATTCCAATAACTTGTATAATTTGAAATAATGTCACATAATATCATAGGAACATCAACATTTTCTAATCGACTTCAAGATTCTTGATTGCTTTAATATCTTACACTTAGATAAATGGTCTCTTTTATCTAAGATCTTACATAAATGCAATAGGCCTTTTCATCATGTGATGAGCGCAAGCGCAGCCGCCATGTTGAAATAGCGCCAATTCAAAAATTTCGTACTGTTTTGATCAACATTGGCTGAAAAAGCAATTTTATCTCTACATCAAAAAATCAAAAATCAAAAATATTTATTCACAGAAATTACAATAAATATAAAGTGCAGTGTCTTACTGGTAACTGCAAATAAACACATACTCTTGCGAAGCATCAAATGCTTGTTTGCAAGGGAAATGCTATAAATACTTATAAAATATACTATACTAAAAGTAAATGAAAAAATTTAAAATATAGATGTTAATAAAATATACCATATTAATAGATAAATAAAAGGAAACACAAAATATAATTTTTAACATGAGAAAAACATTTAGTTTGTTATTTATTAAAAAATTTCAATGACAGTTTGACTTGAATAGAATAGATTAGATAGAAACATTGCTATTAGCTACTTTCAACTAGGTTATGTATGACGCTTCTAGTCGTACTCTGTACGTATTTTTTTAATGTCGTTTTTAATATATTTATAGAAGGTTCAGATTTAATTTTTTCAGGTACAGAGTTATATAATTTAGGTCCAAGAAAAAAGAAACTTTTTTGGCCAATATATTTTTTTGTTATTATGTTTAAGTAAGTATTCCTGTTTCTTGTCATATGTTCGTGAGTTCAAATTTGCAAATTTGATCTGAGTGTATGTTGTTTTATTATAATATTTATGAAGTATAATTGTCGAACATCGAATTTCTTTGTTTCGGCATAGAGT